TGTTTGACGAAGCTTGTAGGAACCAGGTCTTGCCACACCCTCTTGTCTTGGGTGCTCGTTTTGCAGAGGGCACTGTGGTCGAGTCTCCTTCTTCTCCCCCCCTTCTGCTTCCTGCCTCCTGCGTCATGCATCCTGTCTCCTCATTCCTTTTCTTCCTTATCCCTTCTCTCCTTCGACCTGCTTGCGTTGCAGCCCCCCTTGTAGGTCTGCCTCTCCCCGGGAGGTCGCGCGGGGTGGAATTGTCCAGGGATCCAGATGGGACCTCGCGGCTCCCTGGGGGGCTGTGAGGTGCGCAAATGTCACCCCTTTCGTGGGTTCCTGGAGGTCGCGCGGAATGGAGTTGTACGGGGATCCAGTTGGGACTTCGCGTGTCCCTGGGGAGCTGCGAAATACGCAACTGTCGCCACGTGCGTGGGCTCCTGGGGAGGTCGCGCGGAGTGGAGTTGTACGGGGACCCACTTGGGACCCCGCGGCTCCCTTGGGGGCTACGAGGTGCGCAGATGTCACCCCTTTCGTGGGTTCCTGGGAGGTCGCGCGGAATGGAGTTGTACGGGGATCCAGATGGGACCTCGCGCGTTCCTTGGGGAGCTGCGAAGTCTGCAGCTGTCGCCACTTGCGTGGGCTCCTGGGGAGGTCGCGCGGAGTAGAGTTGTACGGGGACCCAGTGGGGACCTCGCGGCTCCCTTGGGGGCTGCGAGGTGCGCAGATGTCAAATCTTTTCGTGGGTTCCTGGGAGGTCACGCGGAAAGGAGTTGTACGGGGATCCAGTTGGGACCTCGCGTGTCCCTGGGGAGCTGCGAAATACGCAACCGTCGCCACTTTCGTGGGCTCCTGGGGAGGTCGCGCGGAGTTGTACGGGGATCCAGGTGGGACCTCGCGGCTCCCTTGGGGGCAGTGAGGCACGCAGATGTCTCCCCTTTTCGTGGGTTTCTGGGAAGTCGCGCGCAGTGGAGTTGTAAAGGGATCCAGATGGGACCTCGCGGCTTCCTTGGGGGCTGAGAGGTCGCGGATGTCGCCACTTGCGTGGGCTCCCCGAACTTCGCACGGGGTCGAGTTGTACGGGGATCCAGATGGGACCTCGCGGCTCCCTGGGGGGCTGTGAGGTGCGCAAATGTCACCCCTTTCGTGGGTTCCTGGGAGGTCACAGGTCACGCGGAGTGGAGTTGTACGGGGATCCAGATGGGACCTCGCGGCTCCCTGGGGGGCTGCGAAGTGCGCAATCATCGCCACTTTCGTGGGCTCCTGAGGAGGTCACGCGGAGTGGTGTTGTACGGGAATCCAGATGGGACATCGCGGCTCGGGGCTGCGAGGTGCGCAGATGTCACCCTGTTGTGGTGTGGGTTGCTGGGAGGTCGCGCGGGCTGCAGTTGTACGGGGATCCAGTTGGGACCTCGCGGCTCCCTGGGGGGCTGCGAAATACACAACTGTCGCCATTGTCGTGGGCTCCTGGGGAGGTCGCGCGGAGTAGAATTGTACGGGGATCCACTTGGGACCTCGCGGCTCTCTTTGGGGGCCGCGAGGTGCGCAGATGTCGCCACTTGCGTGGGCTCCTGGAACTTCGCACCGGAAATTTGTACGGCGACCCCATTGGGACCTCGCGAGTCCCTGGGGAGCTGCGAAATACGCAACCGTCGCCACTTTCGTGGGCTCCTGGGGAGGTCGCGCGGAGTGGAGTTGTACGGGGATCCACTTGGGACCTCGCGGCTCCCTGGGGGGCTGTGAGGTGCGCAGAAGTCACCCCTTTCGTGGGCTCCTGGGAGGTCGCGCGGAATAGAGTTGTACGGGGGTCCAGGTGGAACCTCGCGGCTCCCTTGGGGGCTGCGAGGTGCGCGGATGTCGCCACTTGCGTGGGCTCCTGGAACTTCGCACGGGGTGGAGATGTACGGGGATCCACTTGGGACCTCGCGGCTCCCTTTGGGGGCTGCGAGGTGCGCAAATGTCACCCCTTTTCGTTGGTTCCTGGGAGGTCGCGCGGAATGTAGTTGTACTGGAACCCAGTTGGGACCTCGCGCGTCCCTGGGGGGCTGCGAAGTGCGCAACCGTCGCCTCTTTCGTGGGCTCCTCGGGAGGTCCCGCGGGTTGGAGTTGCACGACTGTCGGCACTTTCGTGGGTTCTTTGGAGGTCGCGCGGAGTGGAGTTGTTCGGGGATCCTGTTAGGACCTCGCGGCTCCTTTGGGGGACTGCGAAGTGTACAACGGTCGCCACTTGTGTGGGCTCCTGGGAGGTGGCGCGGGGTGGAGATGTACGGGGATCCAGATGGGACCTCGCGGCTCCCTGGGGGGCTGCGAATTGGCGAAGTGTGCAATTGTCGCCACTTGCGTGGGCTCCTGGGGAGGTCGCGCAGGGTAAAATTCTGTGGGGATCCACTTGGGACCTCGCGGCTCCCTGGGAACCTGCGAAATACGCAACAGGCGCCAT